GGGGGGGGTGGAACGATTTGGAATTCCCAATATTTAAAATGCGTACCTTACTACTGTTGAAATTTTCAAGAAATAAACACTACTTTTTCGCTTTGAAGGCATTGTGAACAATGTTACTACTATGGGGTGTATGATAGACTTACCTCCACGTGGTGCATCCTGGGCAACGTATACTCATACTGCAAAAAAGTCTATTGACTGGCAGTTGACTTCTGACTCCAAACCACCATCACCCCAGTGTATGTCATATTCGACTACTTTCAAGGTACTCACCTCACCTTTTTCTACCTTTGCGTCTATCTCTTTTACATCTTTGAATCACTCTTCTGTCTTCCCCCACCCCCAAGACTTTTTTTCACTTTGATGTTCCTTCCCCTCTGTGAAGCCTGAAGTCAACTAAAGGGCTAATAATAACTATCAAAATGCATGCCATTTGATATAAATAAATAAATGTTATTACTATTTCAGATTTGTTTGAAAGATCAATGCATTCAAGGTAAACAGCTCTAAAGGTTACTGATATTTGTAAAATAGACAATACAATGAAAATCATTTTCTTAAAGAAGGCACTCGATAATGGACTATGTGCTCATTTTATTTTCAACTGTAGGACGTTTTCACATCCACTTTGGAGTTATGCTCGATCATGACTTTACTGCATGCCCATTAACTTGCTTTTTCATTGACTGCAGCGTATTAGTCGGACATATCAAGTCCTGAAGGGAAATTGAAGAGTTTTGGTTTAAAGGTGATGGTTTTCTTTAGTGTCTCTCGGATTGCTTGACTATGCATGACAGAGAATACATCAGAGCTGTGTTGAACCTAAATATATTGGTTGTTAGCACTAAGCTGGAAATCACCAATCCACGTCAAGTGACCTAATTGAGCTCTCATTACAGAGGTGAGCCGAACAGTCAGGCAATTATGCCTCCCCCAATCTCCAGATAGTCAGAAAATGTGGAACTCCATCTTTACAATTTCAGTGTAACTTCTCAACATAATATGTACACAATTCAATAAAAAATTAATTGACATAAAGATCTTAAGTGATTTTGACATTTGCTTCATTTGAAGGCACAAATAAAGCTATAATTGATATAAATGCGATTTCAAAAAAAGAAAAACTACTCCTCGTTAGAGAAGACAAAAACAATTGAAAAGATTTGATTGTTTAGATTAAAAAAATTTTTTATCCTATTATAATGAATTAATAGTGAAAATAATTTCCCTCACACTTCATCAAGAAAATACACAATACCTAAATAATCAACTACGAATATGTAATTCAACAAGATAACGGGTACAGTGCCAACTGTAGATTATAATGGATTTACCTTTCTCGTGAGACCAAGATCCCCATAGAGTCCTAAGTTAACCTCAATCCTCATTGATATCTACATGTTACGCTGGTGACACTTGTATTTTCGACTAACGGTTCATTGCATAAATATTTTTCTAATTGAATTACTAACAAAAATGACAATGAATAGAGCATCTCCGAAGAAAGTCCCTTAACTTATCGTATTCAAATAAAATAGATCATACAGATTTCAATTAGAAATATCTGAGCATGTGCTTAGGCTATATGAATACATCCGCAACTAACAGTGTTGGTAAACAAATACCCTAATTGAACGGACGAAATTTAATGCAAATAACCTCACCTTTGCAGTTGCTCCAATTTCTCTAAGGCTTTCTGAAGTTCCGCTTTCAAAAATTGATTCACCTCAGATTCGTCGTGGCTCCCATAGTCTAATTCATTATGCCTAAATTGAGAACATTTTTTTGACAAAAAAACAGATAAATTAGGAATAATTAAAGAATTTTTATTTATCTTACATGAATTTTGCAGGCGGTGAGGAACCAGAATTGGAAATAATCATTTTATCCTCACTGTAAACAGTTAAAACACAGTCATCGTATTATCTACTTAATTTGATTGAGTAGAATAGCAACAATCAGTACTTACGGAAAGAATTTTGCCCTTACGCTTTGCGGTGAAGCTACTGGAGGAGAACCAGTGGAACCAGTGTCGTCCTCAATGGGTGATCGAGGCTTTAGAAGACCTTTAAAATTGACAGAAAAGCACTTTTTTCCTTCCCACTTGTTGGAATACTATTTTCAATCATTTAAAAAAAGTGAAAATCAGCGACCTACCGGATTTGAATGAAGTAAATGGATAGGTTCTTTGCATATCACGCAGTAAGTTCTGAAAGACGATGCCATGAATATTATTCAGTAATCGAAATGATTCACATAAAATGGAGATTATGAAGTTTTAACTCTTAATTTCTGAAAGCTATCAGATGTCGACAATTACAGTTCAAAATGACGGCCTTCAGTAACCTTCACAAGTAGAGTCTAAATTAACTCATGAAATCATTAAATTTATCGAAAATAAGTTATTTCATGAATGTTTTAACATTCAATCATCAGCCAGTTGACTTGCTTAAACAATACTAGTTTTGGTGTGACTCCCTTCCTATCTTCTCGAGTTTGAGCCAAAGGTGGTCTAAGTAACATTTCGACGCCTGGAACACAGCAATGAAAACGTACCAAGAAGCCGTTTTGCACCGAAGGTATTAATGAGAGGCACGGCGAAAATGTAAAAAAACTAAATCCCAGCGAGAAAATGCCATAGATGAGACAATTCACTTTGCAAAATTATAAATCTTAATTTTTTATTTGACCAGAGAAGCCATAAATGCGAATGTCAATTTTTGAAAATCGTACAGAGATTATTAAATCTATTCCTATCATTAATAAGAAAGAAGAGCAGAACTTGTAATTGACTTTTAAAGGAATTTCAAAGTCCAATATTTAAATGTGCTTTAACGCGGTTTGTTCCCCTTAACAAAGCTTCTGATTTTACCAAATTCTCCTCCTTGATTCTTATTTAAAAAACACATTCGTCAAGATAAAAGGTATATTTAACATATTTTACTTGAAAATTGTACAATGGTTCGTTATTTCATTTTAAAATTAATGTTTTATTTTAACTGTGGAAATTGTCGTTGAGCAAAATACTAAAAGCAATGTAAGAGAAATTGATTAAATACCTCTAAATTAGCCCTAAAATGGATTTTTAGGTACAGTAAAATTCTACTTAATGTTATGCATTTTCCCTTAAATTATTCATTTATTTATGAAACGTCGGTAAAAGTACAAGTTTTCGCAGCAAAAATGAACATACTATTACGGAAAATACATTTTAGCCATGGATAACCAATTAGAGCAAGGAATAAAATAATCACAAGAGTGAAAATTCAATCAAACACACTTTCAACACAGCTTCTTGTTTATTAATAATTTATAAATAACAATAATTTAATTGAAAATGTTTAAAAAAATCAACTAATCAATAACTCAACCGTTTAGGTAAATTATCTTAGAAAAAATGGAAAGGAGTGTAAATTAACTTTAATTTTTTTCCAGAATTTTAAGATATGACTAGAAAATAACAAACTAGAATTTAAGTTATTGAAGGTATAGTTCCCTAAGTTCAGTTAAAGACTTAATAAAATTGATTCTCAAATAAAGATATGCTTTTTCGAAAAATATCAGAAATAGAGAGGAAAGAGAATTAGATTAGCATATTTATTCTACAATAATATTTCGATTTAATTTACCTAGGTAATTAACTTTTTATTGCTAAATTTTTAATAAATCTTTCGTCTGCTCAGCAAATTTTAGTAGTCTCTGCTCATTTGCATGCAAGCGCACCATAGAGAGGGTGTTAAGGAAATAAATGAAAAGGAAACATTTTAATTACATTATCGGAAGTATGCCGATTTGAGAGCATGGAGCGCCAACCCTCAAGTTGTTCAAGCATATCAACTGAATTGCGCACTGAAGACCCGTCATTTCGTGTGTCGCGACAAATCTGCAGAAACGTTCACATAAATTAACTAGTAACCAATATATTTTAAAGGAAAATAATTTTAAATGTAAACACTTACTGTATCAAATCTTTACTATTGCAACATAAGCAATATGTTACTGCAATGAACTAATTTTTGGTAATTAGTTAGTCGTTTAGCCTTTGCGTGATTCTACCCCTTTCTTAAGAAACTCACCAAATAAAGCTTAAATAATGAGTAAGTCCAATGAAATTAAAATCAAGCAGCAAAAATGCTTTTAAAAGCGATTTACTCAATAATTAAGCATTCCCCCTCCATATTTTAATGAAGACAATTCCAAAATGTGGTAGAGATTTTATAAGTATTGCCTAGTGAAATATAGATTTCAAAACAGTAAATATTTTTTGAAGCACATTCATTAATCACGTTTGTTATGAAAAAACTTGTTCTCTGGATCGATAATTTTAGTGAATTTAAACTATTTGTCAGTTTAAAAACCTGATGTAACTGATAAAAGAACACCAAACACGATGCTACTGAAAATTCGAATTTGGCCAAGTTAACAACTGTGCCTGTTCATGAGCTTGCAGACTAACACGGAAGTGAAACAGGACTTGAGATACACTAAATCATCCAATCTCACACTTCTTTGGATTACATTAGCCTCCGTCGCTTTCCCGCTCGCTTTTGAACAACCACTTCACCCTTCTTTTTAATGCAGACTCATGTGCACTTTCTTTCTATTAAATATACCACTTCTAAACAACTTGTTATTTTATATGAATGTGTTGTCTTGACCATTTCTCTCTCTCTCCCTCTGATGATATAGCTCTTTAGTTAATGGCAAATTACAGTTTTAATGAAGGCTTCTTGTATCCAAACTCTGATATTCAGACTCTTTTAAAAATGAGGCAATACGACTTGAGTTGTGGGCTTTACATCATTCCAGTCATTCCGGAGAGAAGAGTATTGTTTTAGACGTCCCAGTTAACACTGAGAAGCCCTATTCGTTTTCGAGGCAACCTGGAGACCCTGCATTCTCTGTGCCAGCTATAATTGCATAATTTCATTGTCATTCATCTAATCAAATATTAGAGTTTTATTCTAAATTCAATTCATGATTAGTTGTTTTGGCAAGATTCCATTCTATTTTTTGTGTACTTAATTGACTTGCAATATTGACAATAAAACAGTAAGGAAAATTGTAGGCACAAACATCGACCATGATGGCAAATAAATTATTAACATTCATGAAGGTTAGCCGAGAATTCGACCAAGGGCTACATGAGTGCATTAAACACCAATGAAAACCATGCCAGGTGTTGAGGAATATTCCGTTTACTTACTTGGAGGCAGTTCAACCAAGCCAGCACTGCATTGTTAGTCTCAGCCTGATATGTATACTTGCGATTGCTCCTAAAAGACATCAAAGTGAAGCTCACACTAAGGATTCTCTTTTTGACTTTTAAATTTTTCATAATTTTCATACCGAATATTTATGTCAATTGGCTAAAAGTTCTTCGAAAAAGTTAAATTTCCAAAGGATATGCTAGTATTTTACCTTTAAATTCTTGTTCAATATCAACAAATCTGCAATATGAATGCGAGGAAAGTTGTATGCGTTTGTCTATTAAAAGTCCCATCGATACATATATATTGTTAAGATCTCTACGCGATAGAAGATATTTGGAGTCGTGACTAAGCGCAAAGATATAATACAGCATGTGACAGAAGTAAATGCTTACAAATAAATAATCGCTACTAACAAGTAAAATAAACGCTTTCAAGTATATGAAATGATTCATTTCCATTTTTTTATTATATAGATATCAATTTTGATTAGTCCATTTCAATTGAAGTTTAAATATAGATAGCCTTATGTCATACATAGTTTCTAATTCCATTTTCACAAGTTGATTGTGATTTGTGGCACCAGACTTTAAATTGATGTTTGCGAGCAGGTTGGAAAGACCTTGAAATTGTCAAGTCATCTTTAGAAGGACCGAAATTGTGCTTAGATCTATGTTTCTATTTACGGCAAGCCGTCTGCTAATGTTCTTGAGAGGGATTTTGATGTATCTAGGCTTAAATATTTTTCTAAAATCAATGACTGGCCTATCAATAGTCAAACAGAACCCGGCTTTAACATTCAGTTGCTAAGACTCTACTGATCAATTATTCTTCATCCATAGGGGCATCATAGTTATTGCATCTAAATCTAAAATACCCTTACTGTTGCAAACGATTCTTTACCTTAAGTCATCATCATTAGCTCTGCACAATGCCATTCATTGCACTCACCTATATCTTTCAAAGTCTTCTGTCTCTAGTTTTATAGCACCTTTGGCTTTTCCAATTGTATTTTTTTCTTTGATAATTATTCAGTCATCTTATTCTCTCAGTACCTGCTATTCCTTCACATACGATAATTACGGTTCTATTGTACTGCAAGATCTTTGCCATTTTGACAACTCCATCAATTTTTGCCTCTTAAATTTTTCCAAATTTTATTGTCCTCGTAGATTGTTTACTTCATCAAACATTAAACGACATTTTTTATTCATTTTCCTCCATATCCATTCAGGAAACATTACACGTGATCAGTAATATTAGCATAAAAATTGAATCCCATATGAAGTTTTAGCAGTTGAAAGGATCCAAATAAATACTGACAATATGACGTCACTTTTAAAATATTTATACACTCAGCAGGACAAATTGGCATCCTGTTTCATTAATGAATAATCGTCTCACTATGGAGATAGACTAATTTTGTGGGGAATACAATGTCAGCTTGGCTGAAATAAAGAAGAGCTCGCGGTTTTAAATATTATAAAGCATTGTTTGCGTCATGCCAATCACGCTATGAGATTGCTAGTACAGAGACATCTCGACCAATCAATAACCAAAGTCATTGAATGACTATCATTACTATCCTAAGTATTTCTTAGCTAATCTTGAGAACCGTTTCACACTAGGAGAAACTGCCCTAGAGGTTACTGGGCTTATTAGTGTAGAAATCAGTTACAATTAATATAAGATGGGGAAGAATAAAGTAAAAGAATTACCGATACTCACATCAACCGCCCTTTCTTATGTTGAAGAAATTTTTATAACCTGTAATCTGAAGGCTCTGATTATTGTGAATATTATCTCATTAAGTGCGCTAGTGTCAATTGACAAAATTTGAATATTAGGATATGGGGTGTGCGATAGACTTACCTCCACGTGGAGCACCCTGGGCAACGTATACTCATGCGGCAAAAAAGTCTATAAACCAGCAGTTGACTTCTGACTTCAAACTACCATCACCAAACTGTAGGTCATATTCGAC